TACTATATGGATCAGAAACCTGGCAGCTGCGCGCCGAGGACGTCAAAAGACCCAGTGTTTGATCATTGATGTTTTCGGAGCATTGCCCGAATCTGGTGGGAACACCGGATTAGCAATTCTGAAGTACGTCGAATGGTATTCGGGAGAAACAACTCACCCTCGTTAGATGAACTGATCGCACTGCATAGGTTACGCTGGCTTGGCCACGTGTTGCGTATGCCAGTCGACCAACTTCCTCGAAGGGCTCTTTTCGCACAACCACGTGAAGGGTGGAAGAGGGCCAGAGGCGGTCAAACAATGACTTGGCAGCGAAGTATGAAAGCCATTACCAGAAAACCCAGCTGCGCTGGTCATTTCCGTCTTCCTGGATGGGGACTCCGAGACGGGCCACATCAATGGCTAGAGACATTATGAGATATGGCCCAGTCGCGCACTCGTGCATCCAAGCTATTGCCTTCAATGCATAGCTCCTTTTCCAACCCCCCTTTCACTTGACAGCCCACTGACAGTGCTGGAATTATGCACCAATTTATCAGCTCCCGCCTGCAATGCACACCTACCTACCCCTCCCCCCAAACCATCGGTGAACGAAACTGCGGCAGCTACAACCACTGTACGACGAATACGCGGTTATTACAGCTGACAATGATGATGATGATGGTTTTGAAGTTGTTAGGTCGGTTTAGCGCCGCTTTCTAAGTTGACCGTCGGTGATTTTACTTGAAAAATTAACATGACCGACCGATCTTACTAAACCCGACATACCAGAGTTTTTGCAACCAACTGAGTGTTCTGTTGAAGTGAAAATGAGTATAGTGGTTTTGCGCCCGCTTAACAGTACCAAAAATCAAGGGAGAATGTCTGGATTCAGGAATATGCAGTCGGTAATCTATTTCCACTCAAATTCTCCCTGATAAAGATTTTTTCTGCCGTGTTGATTCACTTCCTCACCATAATTACCTTAAGTAACCATACCCTGTAAGATAACTGCTCAATTTTTCGACTACAGTGGTAAATGCATGAACAAGTAATAGCCTAACAAATTAGTAATGTGGGCTTGAATATCACAAGAAACCCTATTTCGGGTAACTTCATTTGCTCACTCAAATCCGGTTCTCCAATGGCCGACAATTCGGCCCCGGCACTGATTCACTACTTCTTTTTAGGCAAGCGTATGATTCATGGGGTTCAGAAATACTTTTTTCCAACGAGGTGTTCTATATACGCTCAGTTGGTTTCAGAAGTTTGGCTAAGGAATCTCTCTTTTAGGCAGTCTGCCTCACAGAACGTCAATCAGTACTGCGCCTCCGTTTTTTCTTGACTGGATTGCAGCAACTCCAAGTGTTCCACTTTATTCCATGTTTTAATTCACGTTCTTTCACAGTTTATTGTTTCCCACACTGCTTCTCCGATTGTAGGTGGTGTCTGTAGTGTCTGTAATCCGTTGTCACACTTACCATTCTTCCTGAACTTGAACCACACTTTGTAACTGTCGTTCAAATTGTATCATGACGTTTGTTTTAATGTTACGAATACAATTTTTTCTTGGCGCGACTTCCCTGCTTTTTGCTGACTCAGTGAAACTGCATCCGATTGAGCTGATTGCTGTTTGCTGAAGTCGTGAGATTGGATTATCGTGTTTGTGAGAACTGTTGAACAACACAATAACTCCTTGTGCCAATTTTCAGCTGTGATAACTGTCTACCGTGGAATTTACTTCTAAAACTAGAACTATCAGGAGAATATCCTTCTTACTCTGGATATATTCTTCACCGCCGAATACAATTACTGCACAACATTTCGTGTAGTGGAATTATTGGACCTCCAATTTAGTGAGTCTGTTCCGTTCACTTGTCCATTTCTTATTGCCATTTGTTATTTCTAAGCTGGTATTTTGGTTGTATATTCTATCGAACACGCATACATAGGTCCTTGTCCACTACATAATTAGCAAAAAGCAGGGAAGTCGCGCCAAGAAAAAATTGTATTCGTAACATTAAAACAAACGTCATGATACAATGTGAACGACAGTTACAAAGTGTGGTTCAAGTTCAGGAAGAATGGT